GAAAAGCAGAAAATGGGACAGCCAAATGTAGGACCTGATAAACTACTCTGGCGGAACAACGAACACTAAAGTTTTCCTTTTTTCAAATAAACAAAAATTTAATAAAAGAAAATCACTAGGCTAAAACTTATTGGTAAGAACTAGACACCAGATGTTGACTACGCATTATGAAGTTTTGCAGAGTTAACGGAAAATGATAATGCATCACAAAATGTATATTGGTCCTTATTTTATCAGTTCCATTTTATAACACTTCATAATATATCAGTGGATATAGTGTGTTCTGTAAAAGTTACAAAGGTGTGGTAACACCTTGATACAGCACTTGTCAGTTAAACTTTCATGAGAACAGGAAAGCCAACCATGTGTGTGCTAATTACAAAGTATGAGCACTGGCAGAGTTTTAGTATAGTAACAGTCCAAAGCAATAATGCGCACAACATCACTACTGCAGTCATGGGTCATAACTAGAGGACAATATTGTTACTACAAACAGAGAAATATGATTTGAAACTTGGCCTGGGAGACTGGATGAATAGAAAAGGCTGCAAGGCCAAGCAAGTGCTTTTACTTTGGAAATGCTGGCAACATTTATTCAGAAAAAGCCATACCATGTATCGATTTCTTTTTATATCCTTCCAGGCAATAAAGCTCTTTCTCCCATGCACTGCAACAGAAATACAAAACAAAAAAAAAGGAGGAATGCAGTTCGAACAACTGCTATGACATTAGGAGACCAAAGCAGCAAAAGCAAACTGGTTAGTTCAGATCACTTGCAAAATGGAAGGAAAATAAGTAGCACTGCAGTAGCTGAATACAAACTAGTTAAGAATGTTTCTTGTACCTGCTTGTCATCAGCTTTTTTTTGCAGAGAGTTTTCATTGGAAATGAAATAATCCTGATAATCTGAAAGATGGATCATTTTTTTGTTTATGAATATTTAGGGTGTGCTGCTGGGACGCTTTCTGAGTTTGCGTTGCCTTACCTTTTAAGTGAGTATAAAACTATTTCAAAGCTTGACAGACTGCTCTCAATGCCAGGTTTTTTCACCAAGTACTGTCAGATGCTGTAAATGAGCTTCCCAGCCCAAATTCAAAGCAGCTGTTACCACAATCTCCCTCCATAATGGCTGGACAAATAGTATATCCCTTAAAACATTTCAGATTGTAAGAACAGAAGAGTTCAGCTGTTTTGCTATGATTATAATACAGCCTGTCTCCACGAAACAGCTGACACTTCTCCAACATTCAGGAAGTTCTGTGCTCAACCTTAAAGCACCTTCACTGAAACAGAGAATGCCAAAGGATGACAACTGGATTACTATGGCAGAATTTTTTACTCTTGAAATCTCTCTTGAGATGTTTACTGTGAAGACAATATCTACTTTGAAAGAACCTAAAGTTGCCCTGATTTAAAAACCAAACACAAGCCTCTCCCCCTCACATCTACAAACATACACAAGCCAAGCGCAGAAAAGAAAGTTATCATTAGAGTTTATATGAGCTGCAAACAAAAAAAACATTTGCTCCTTCATTAGTGCAAAAATTGCATTTTGATTCTCCACTTTAGAGGAACAGTCAAGTCCCAAATCTATGACTACTTATATCGGATAAACCTGCAGTGCTGACAAACTGAAATATCTTCTTTTATGCAAAGTTAAACTATAAAGTCAACCAGCACCTAATAATTTGTATTCCGTCTTCTCACAATCTGGCTTTAGGATGATCTTCATTATAGCTTTACAGTAGCTATTTTCAATAAATACATTCCAAACATACATGAATTTAAACTGAAAACTAGATCTGGCACTTGATGTGTCTTGGAGTACCTGTAAGGATCTATTCCAAATAGAGGTCAGAGGACTATTTTTTCCTCTACAGATCCCCCGCTGTTGGAGTTTCTAGAAAGGCTCTGTAGAATAATGTTACTTTCGGTGCTGATCCTAGACACTAGATCTAGAAATGCATTAACTTGGAGAGTCGTCTACAACAGACTCCTCTCAGTATTTCACATCCGAGTGTACACCTGACAGTCATTTTTTGCGTCCATTTAGACTTTCTTCCTCATACTTCAGAGAAAAAAAAATGTGAACAAGTTGAAAAACCAGCACCATCACTGTGTTAGTTACAGGAGAATATGGCAGGAAGAAAAATAAAGTACTTGTTTTTTTCCTGTCCAAACTGGATCCAACTTAAAACAAGAAAAAAACCACACGTTTTGAGGACACATCACCTATCTCTGTTTACTGTCTCTCCGATGAAGACAGCTGATGGAGCAAACCATTTTAGTGCTTCCTGGTCTACTCCAGCATTAAGTCAATTGGGTGAGCTGTGACATTCCAGCCAAGGCAGTGAACTGTTGTGCTGCAGCGGACCAGCATCAGTCACAGAATCTGCTAAGACACTCGGCTGTGGAGGCAAGCTATAATAAGAGTTATAATTCTAACCATACCCACAAAAGGACATCTGACACCACTACAAGACAAAAATCCTAAATTATAACATACACCCTCAAAAAATATCAGCAAAACCAACTTACTACCTTCTGCTGACCACAGCCAACTACAAAAGACCTTATAGTTACTGGAAAACAAAAAATTCTATCTTGGTGCTTTCCTCAGAAACGAGCATCAAGACAGAACAAATGAACGATCGACTCTCCCTGCTGCTGCAGGAAACAAAGAAAAAAATGCCAGAAGCCAATAGACTTACACAGGCAAAAGGTTCTCTCAGTTTGTGTTGTACCATCCTCCTTCCTATACATCTATAAACTAAGGACAGCTGAGCTTCCTTGGCCAAGGAGATCTTCTCTTTCCCATACTTTTCACCCCAAAAAGGAAAATAAATACATAAATAAATGGTACAGAGGAAGAAAGATGAGAGCTTGGGAGGCTTGAGGAAGCCTCATACACAAACACAACTGTAAAACAGTTGTGTGTGCTGCAGGAAAATGAGGCCAAGAGAAACTAACCCTCTCCGCTCCTACACACAAGCATTTAAGGAAAACTGCAGGTTCCTAATTCACTCTCACTGGGGTCTATAACAGAATATTCTGTAGACAAATAATTGTGCAGTAATTGCAAATAGCAATTGCATCAGAGGTCTGTCTTCTCTGTGTATTCAAATATGTTGCTTTGCAAAGCCTTTAACAAACAATAATGTGATGCTGATACAGTCTTAAACTTCAGAATAACAAATAACTGTAAAGGGGAAAAGCTTCTCAGATCCATATTCTCTGTACAGATATACTTTGATCACTATTTGATTAAACTGAAAAACATGTTGTCCCCCCTCAGAAAAGTTTACGAAGCACAGATTATATCAACATCATCCTAGGTACATTTCATTTTGTAGTCTAATAATGCTCCAAGTAAGAAATCCCTGTATAAAGCCTACCAGTCAGTACCTGAACTCAGAGGAAAATGGACTGATGTCATAAAATGTTTCTATTATCAGTTTGTACTCTTTGTCCTAACTACCTTGGAAATGACCCAAACAGGGCATTTTGTTTTCAAATTTAGCATAAGCAATTTTGTAAGTTATCAAAATATAAAGATAAATTGCTTGCTTCCAAAAAAATTCTGTGCACTTCTGTGTTCTTCCTACAGCTATCTCATATTGATCCTTGTTATAAAAGGACATAAAGTCAGGCAGTATGCTAATAGAGCATTGCTATATACTCCAACATGATTTAAGATGTGCTTCTACACGAAGTCCAGAAAACCTCTCATACACCAAATGTTATGTGCTCAGTATGGATCCTTTCCTTACTTTTCTACTTCAATAAAAAAAAAAAACAAAAAACAATTTTGGCTGGAACATCCAGGCTCCTCCTCAAGTCTTCTAGAAGTACCAAAAGATATTTGAACTTCAGGTAAATGGGTAAAAGGCATCTTGTTTGGGACTTATCAGACATACTGCAAATGTCTCCGGGGTACTGTTTACATTGAATGCTACTAATGGCTGAAAACATCCACAGCAAAAAGAGACAAATATCCCAAGTGGTTTAGTAAAATGAGGAAAGTATCCCTTAAAATGAATGGAAGATGCCACTCTTGAAGTTCCCAGCAGTCTAAGTAATGTACTGCAAGTAAGAAAAACACATGCAAATAGCTAATCCTGACTATTTACATAATCAGTGCTATAACCATGGACAAGTAGGTAATGATATCTGAGAGACTAAATAACTAATATCATCAAGCCATAAAACCAGGGGGGTAATTGTGAGATACCGCCACAAACATGAGTGGAGGATGCTACTCTGGAAATTCCCATTTAGCTGTCCAGTGGGAATCCACCAAAGGGAAATTCATGACATGACACACCAGTGTCTTCCTTTTTGAAACCTATCACATAAACAGGGAAAGATAAACATCACAGTAAAGGCTGCAGGAGATCAAGGTGTATAAAGCAGAGGTAATTAAATAAATTGCCTTTTCTGAAATCTGTAAAAACAAGATCAACAATCCAGGTCATTTCAAGCAGAAATTAGGTTGTCGGTAGGTTTTGAAAGGCAGTCCATCATTCACCCATAGCAAGTGCTTCTGCTGAAACTGTATTTTGAGCCACAAATGAAGCCCAATATGAACTTCCGACAATGTAGGGACGGGGGGGGGAGGGGTGGCAGGAGTTGAACAGTGAAAACCATCTTTTCGTAGGAAATAGTCTTCATACTTTCCAATACTCCTCATTTTTTCCTTAAATTGTAGTTATTACATATTGGAAAACTATTTATATTAATCAATTGAAGAAAGTTATTTAACATATTTGCAAATCAAGGAGAAAAAAAGAACTGTAAATTAAACCATCATTTAGTTTGAAATGTTGTCATGTTCCAGAATTTTAAAATACTGACTCACACTATTCAAAGATTTTAAATAATTTCCACTTAGTTTATATAAAATATCACGTACTATAAAGCAAATTGATTACAAAAAAGTAAAACGACACTAAATTGTTCCCTGTTTTTATTATAGTTATATTGTTTGTCATTTCACTTACCCATGCTTCGTGCCATATATCTCCTTTTCTTTTCCTTTGCCCTTCTCTTTTATTTTTTCTTTCTCTCTGCCTTTACGCCGCTCTCTTTCACGAGACCCGCTATGAGTTCTCCTATGACTGGATCTTTCACTACTTCGACTATAAGAACGTTGACGAGGTCTTGATCGTGATCTACACAAAATCCATAGTATTAAAATTTAGCAGTCATACATTTTTCACTGTCACTGTATGTTAGATTTGTTACATAGTCCAACTATTTTAAATACATTTTCAAATAATTTAGTAATTTAATACTTTTAAAAAAAAACCTGCCAATTTATCAAAAGAAAAGTGAAAAAGAAAGCATTGCTTCTACTCTGAAGGAAGAACACAAAATAAATTAAACCACACTATGTACTATTTGCCCATTAACGAAGTAATCTGGTATTACCAAAGTAATCTTCAGAGCTATTGGAGAAGGAAAGGAAGGAAATTTTTTCTTGAACATTAAACTTAAGAATTTAAAGTTCTGATCAATTTAGCTTGGCAAATAATCAAAGAATTTACAGCTGCTACTAAGTGCTTGTATTTACATATTAAATACATTACTACTACTAATGATTCTATGATTCTATGTTCCAACAAAAATGAGAAGTGATGTGTCCAAACCCCTATCTTTAGCCTGCAGAGCTGACACTTGCACACAGCTTCTTGATACCAAATTCAGATTTGAAACACACTTTGCAGAAAACCTATAAATAGGCCAACCCTACAGGCCCAATAATGCAATAAACTGCATACAGGTGCAAGGGTTTGTGTACATATTTGGTTCTTGGTTACAAGTTCCTACATGGCTGTAGGATATTCTGTTCTCAATCATGTTATCCGTTCCTCTGTAATAAATATATGTTGTTACCGATATACTTGAATGAAAAAAGATCGAGAAGTATTACAATATGACTGTTTCTATATGTACCCAAAAAACCTTTTTATTATTCCTGAATTTCTTTTAGATGATTTTCTAAATTTTAATTTATAATTTATCGTGGATCAATACACCTTTTCTATGGTACATGAGTAACTATAGACAATGAATATTTAGGAAAACAGCAGTTCAAGTTTGCATTAGTTTCTATTACAACGTACGTCTTGATAAAAGTTCTGACGGCACCTCATTGAAAAGTTTCATTAAGTACTGAGAGGGCTGGGGGGAAAGCCATTTTTTAAAACAGTATAAAAAATTTATTTAGCACCTCTTGGAGTGCAAAACTCCAAAGGCCTTTAAAAGCAAAATCACACACAAAAGATCACTCAATTTGAAAGGCAACAACTGTTTAATAAAACTCAACAATAGAATAAGCAAAAGAAAATACTACATCCAGATGAAGCTATAAATTACATTTAGGAAGAATGTTGTTACCGAGTCTGGAATTTGTCCAGCGTACCGGGGTTAACATACCTATTCTTGCCATTGAGCCTTTCAGACTAGCACTAGAGGTCAGGACCTCAGTTTTACGTTTCATTCGGCAGATGGCATCTCTTGCAACACAGTATTCTCCTATTATCGGTCACACTGTTAGCACTGATACAATAGATCAAATTACCACTTAAGTGGCGTATTATGAACTATAGAACATTTTCTGTCTCAAATATTATGTCATCACAAATTAAAAAGCATCCATCGATTCTTTAGTCCTCAGGTAGAGGAAGTTTTGACTGAGAAGAGTATTTTGGATATTAGATCTATTTTTTGGTTGGCACAAAGACACTGTTTTTACAAGCATCATGATGAGGCAAGCACAGATTTACAGACCACTGCCCTACGGACATTCACTGTTCAAAGGTAACCATGATTTCTGAGAACTCTCCAGGTAAGATGCAAAGTCAGAAACAGTAAAAAAAACAAACAAAAGCACCCTGTAGCAACACAAATCACCTTCATTCGATGCAAGGCCTCTCCTTACTTAAGGATGTAGTCCTTCAAACAGAAATTACTGAAGAATCTAAAATATTTACTGCTAGAGAGCTTACTTTCTCAGCTCAAATTTGAACTTGATTTCACATCCACCTTTTGCAGGTGCCAATAACAGCAAATTCAGTTCAGATTAGCTGAATGCTCAAATCCTAGACTTCTGTTTGTTCACACGTCTAAGTAGAACAAATGGCAGGTATAATTTATATACAGAAAAATAGCTTTTAAAAATTAAAAGTAGACTTGTTGCATCAAGTTTGTAATAATGTACTTACAACAGCATTGACAAACTGATAAACGTTTTCTTTACAGAAGCTGTCCCTGTTCTTTCATTTGCAATCTTTTGCACCCATAAAATTCATTAGGCTAGAGTGATCCCTAATCATTGATTATCCTCTGGGTTTTACAATTACAGAAAATAGCTAATACAGCTTGTGTTCCCTGTCCCACTCACGCAGGTGAGGCAGGCAGATGACTATCAACGGGATATTACAGTGAAGATCTTAACAAAAATGTTAAGTTCTACTCCACAGAAGCCATCCCTGCAGGACACATTAGTTCAGTCAATCCTTCAATTATCAGAGCAGTTGATCTGGGCTGCAGATCAGCCCAGAGCACAGATGCAGACAATCCAGAATTGGCTTCATGCAGAGACAACTTCAGTTTGGTCAGACTTGTTAGCTCAGATAACAAGTTACCACACGTAGAAGGGTCTTCAGGGCAGTTCAGGTGTCAAGTCTGTCTGCCTTCGTGGGCTGCAGACCCCCAGCCTAACCCAAACTGACTGCGAAGCCCTGCTTTAGGGGATCTACGGAGGGAACACTGCAGAAAAAAGAGCTGCAAAGTGGATCTAGCTTATTCTGCTGCACCTGAATCAACTTGCAGAGTGTCTCCTACACATTTGTTCTCCAGTAGCTAAGATGTACACAGGGTTTATTTGCTCGGTACAGGACAAAGCAGCCAAGACAGAAGTGCTGAGGGATAGAGACAAGCACACCCTAACACAGGCTCTTGATGTAGCACCAGGTAAACACCAGCCACACTGACCTGTGATGGATCTGCTGACCTCCTCCAAAGATAAGTTTTCCTGGGTTTTCCATCATTGCGCAAAGTTCTTTGCAAATACTTAATTTTTCATTATTTCCCCTTAATGCTGCAGAGTTACAGCCCTCCCAAATAAAACTAACTCTGCCTGCTAAGTTCATTGTATTTATTTATATTGATTACAAACAGTATATATAAAGCACAGATAAAGCAACACAACTGCAGAAATACAGAAAGATGTACTAGCCCCAATCATGAATAGGGGTGAAGTAAATAAGGAAAAATGAGGCAAAGAAAAAAGGAACAGTCTAACATTAAAGCTCCCTTCAATTCCTGAATGCTAGCAAAACTTAGATTATGTTAATCATTTTTAAACTGGGATAACTACCGTGCTTCCAATGTTGTACAGCAATGAATATTTTTGAAAAAGCTTATCTTGTATTAACCTTTTGCCTTCACAATCTAGCCAAAGACATTGTGGAGGAGGACTATTAGAAAAACCACTAGGCAACCACACCACACAGTTGCATTAACAAATTTAAGCTGAATCTCAACTCTTGTTTAAGACTTCTTCTAGTCTGAAAAAAATCTTAGGGACTTCTCACACAAGTAGAGGCATGAAAATTTTAAAATATATTTGCTTAACTAAGTAACAGCTTAGTATATTATGAGTTAAGACGCATTATGTAGTTTTACCACATTTTGATGAAACAAAGGAAGCACAGAGACTAAATACTTTAAGATAACAGACATAAGATGGCAAAAATAACAAACTTGGTGGTATAATTCTCTAGAGCAATTTCAAACTGAACCAGAATTAACAGGAAGCCAGCAATAAACCATATAAGAACAGCTGAGCTTAAGCAGGTAAGACCACAATCTTCTTGATCTCTGCTAGTGTGTGCACTCTTAAGAGAGCTCTCAGTTTCTATGAAGTGCCACAGGAAATGGTGATTAGCTATGATTGAAGCAAAAGCCACAACTATATTGATATACTGAGTGAATGCTGCATCACTTCTAGAATGCATGAAAACCTACCTCTTTACGCCATGAAAATGGACAAGCACTGAAATGTATAGGGACTCTGCAGTGCAAGTCTCACAGGGAAAAGCGGGAACTGCAAAACACTTAGGAAAATAAAAAGGGTTTTGCCTACAAACAGGTTTTCCCTGCATTCAAAAAACAAAATATGAGCTAAGGCTTCTTTCTCCCCAAACTGAAAAGCTTAAGGAAGGGACTGACCAAAAGAAAGTGTGTCTCTTCTTTGCTTATTATCTTTTAAAAAAGGCGTAAGATGTAATCTCAAGGGGGGGAGGGAAGAGTCAAGCATTTTAAACAGGAGAACAAAAATGAGATTATTGATTCAATAAAGTTAAGAAAACTTAAATAAATGAAGCTAAAGAGATTAGATTCATAGCAAGAAGGAAGCGAAAGGTATGCAACACCATATACTGAAAGGCCAAAAATATGTATTCAGAAAGCAAAGAAATTACACAAAAACCATTTTAAAAAATACAAAGAAGGAAAAGCACAGTTTCCCACAAAGTATGCAAAAGGATGTGCTGTGTTTGTATACAGGCAGATGTTACTACTCTTCCTGGCATTTTATTTATTGGTAAGTACTCCCAAAACAAACTGCCACTTAAATTTGCCCTCTTACATACAACTGTTCTAAGACCTCAGTATCTAAAACCTGCCTAATTTCCTCCAGCTCTGAGGGAAGCTCCAATCTCCCTTACCTCCCAGGCTAATTACACCCACCTGTTAATACCATTCAAGACTAATTCAGCAACACCAAACACAAGCTTCAAGGAACCAGGTGACAGGAGGACTACGCTTCATATTGCCTAAGATACATTCAGTATTTAGTAGTGTCATCCCCCAGCAGCACAGGCTGGGTTCATGGGATAGAGCCTCTCAGTAACGGCAGATGAGCAAGGGCTAACCTCAAACCAGAGGGCTGTTATCAGCACCTTCACAGTGCCAGGCTTAAGCACGCTGAAAAGCTGCACTTAATGCCACAGAACTTCATTTTACAGTATGTTACCATTTTAATAAGATAGCTGTCTTTTTTTTTCTTTGCCTATAACCCCCAAATCCTAAAATATTCATTTTAAGAACACTTTATGCAAACTTCCATAAGGCCTATATTAAATCCAAAATATGCAATAGGCTC